GTTCTGATACCGAATTGCTCGATTTCCATGGCGTCCCGCGGCGTTGGAGCAGTGGACGTGCGGATGAGCTATCTTGCGGATCTGCCCTACGCCCAGGCGGCGTTCGGGGCGTTCTTGGCGGCAGCAGGCCCTGCCTTGGGCCCAAAAGCCATGACGGCGCTGGTTGCGGCGGCGGCGCGCGGGGCAGCCCAAGGGGCGGCCGCGGGCAGCAGGCCGGGTGCTGGTGCAGGTGGCGACGACCAGGACCCCGTCGGCGACATGGACGTCGTGCTGGCGAAGGTCAAGGCCGTGTCGGGGCACGCAGGCGAGCTGAACGTCACGGACGCGAAGCTGTGGCTGCGGGCCCACGGGGAGCGGGGCAGCAATGCCGCCGCTCGGCTGGGCAAGCTCAGCAAGCTCCGCAACGCCCAGTCGCACCCGCTCGCGCTGCAGCTGATCGTGGAGGTCGGGCAGTTGGCGGCGGCTGTCGGCAAGGAGGAGCTGAAGAAGATGGACGGGTCGGGGTGCTACAAGGGCGCCGAGGCGGGCCCCGCCCCCCCCAGCGAGGAGAAAGTCAAGGGCGGCGCCGGTGGGGGGGGGTGGGGACCGCAGCCAGAGGACGCAGACCTGTCGGAGACGGTGGGCGACATCACGGATCTGGCGAGCGTGTCGGAGACGACAGCGGCGGGCCCTGAGGAGAAGTTCTCGGCGAAGCCAGCGAAGCAGAACGGGGAGCTGATCCAGGTGGACATCAAGTTCGGCCCAGACTTCGAGGCCAAGCGAGTGCTGAAGGTAAGGGACTCGGACGACATGTCGGAGACAGTAAGCTCGTCGGACCAGAAGGTGGCGGGCCCAGAGGAGAAGTTCTCGATGAAGCCAGTGGCCAAGCAGAACGGGGAGCTGATCCAGGAGGACATCAGGGACGCCCCAGCCTGCGACCACCTCGATTATAAGTACCAGCTCAAGTCGGCGAAGATCGATGAGTTGGTCAAGGTGTGCCTCTCGCGCGAGGAGTTTGAGGAGAAGCTCCAGGCATGGGAGGACAACTATGAGCTCTGCGGCCAGCACGGGTGCGCGGTCCGCGGGTAGCCGATGACTTGTGGACCCCTGTGCCCTTGGGGGCTGCGCGTGGTGCGTTGATAACTGCGCTTCTCCTGGGGGCGGGTCCTGGTCGCGCCGTTGGGCGCAGTGCAAGCACTATTTGGCGTGGCGCGGAGGCCCGTGCCCTCTTGCGCCCGCCCGCAGTAAGGACGGGACACTGGTCCCCAGTGGGTTATCCTCGGTTATCCTCCTCCTCCTCCTCCTCCTCCTCCTCCTCCTCCTCGGCTCAAGCCGTTTGGGATCTTGAGCGTGCTGAGAGACGCGACACGACTGGACAGGCCAGTGACGCAGCGTTGGGGCTCAGCTTGAGAATGCCCAAGAGTAAACCCTTCACAGTCTGCAATGAGCGTGGCCAATGGGTGTACAACTGGCGGCTGGACAAGCAAGGAGGGCAGTGCAAGTGCGGCGCGCGGCTGGAACGGTTCCAGGGCAAGCCGCCCCGGCGCAGCAACCACTACGGGCAGCAGCACGCTGGAAGCTCAGCGGCGGCGTGGTGGGGGCCAAAGCCAGGAGAAAGCGATGGCAAGGCGGCGGCGCTGGATTTCCTCGCAGGGGGGAACAAGCAGCTGGCCAAGGAGACCGAGGAGCTCCAGCGCAAGCATGCGCCGCCGCCGCCCCAGCCGAGGCCACCTGATGCATGGCAGGCGCTCACGAAGGCCAAGGGGTAGCATCAGAAGGCGCAGAAGTGGCTGCTGGAGTGCGAGGACGAGCTCGAGCGCTTGTCCATCCTCCACGATGAGGCGCTCCTCCGCCGCGACCAGGCCTTGGAGGACGCCTTCGATGCGGATCAGGCCCGCGCGAAGGCCTCGGCGGCCTACTACAAGCAGGTGGGCAAGGGGGAGCTCGTCAAGGCGGGGGGGGAGCCTGCGCAGGCTGAAGTGCAGACGATCCTGGACTTTTCAGTGGATGACCGGCTCCTGGACGCCAACCTGGACGACTACGAGGACGGCCCAGAGAAGGAGGCGGTGTTGGCCTTCCGCACCAAGTTGGCGGACATCCAGCAGGCGGGGAAAACATCTTTGCAGAAGATCGAGGAGGCAGAGGCGGCGCTCGCTCGGCAGCAGGCAGAGGTTCGCCAGAAGCACGCGGAGGAGGCGAAGCAGCTGCGCGACCAGGCGGAGCAGCACCAGCAGCTCCTGGTGCAGCAAGTCGAGCAGCTCCCCAGCCTGCGCAAGCAGCTCCAGAAGAAGCGCAGGACGGAGGACGGCCAGGCGGCCTCAGGCGAAGCCGCCAAGGAGCCCGGTGAGCAGCCAGCGGCGGAGCCAGGAGCCACGGCCGCGGAACCAGCGGCTGCCCCAGACGCCGAGGCAGCCCAGAGGAGGAAGCAGGTGCTGCTGGACTACCAGGCGAAGGTCAAGGCTGAGCGCGCCGTCGCTGTCGCCAAGGGGGGCGGCAAGGGCAAGCCAGGCACTGCGGGGGCTGCTGCGGCTCCTGCTGGCGCTCCTGCTGCTGGGACGAGCGCAGGCGCAGGCAAGAGTGGAGCAGCTGCCAGCCAGGATCGACCGTCGCACCTTTGACGATCTACGTCCTGACGCGAGGCCAGCGTCAGGCACGGCTGGCGATCGCCAGCTCTTCTTTGCGAATGTGGAGAAGTGGGGCCCACAGGCCCACAAATACGTGAACGAGTATCAGGAGCGACACCCACGGGTAAGTGTGATGGGCATCTGCGAGACCCACCTCTTGCCCGACAAGCAGAAGAAGGTCACGGTCGACCTCCATCGGGACGGCTGGAAGACCACGGCCACGGCAGCGCGGCCGTCTGGGCTGAGTGAGACGGGGTGCTGCGGTGGAGAGATGATAATAGCGAGGCGGCATCTTGAGACGACCTCGTTTGATCATGTGCGAGTGGCAGCACAGCAGCGAGGCAGAGACGATCCCTTCCGCGGGTTCGTGGCGACCACCATCCACGCGAAGGCGGGCAATGTGGTCTACGCGACGGCGTACATGGCGCCCCAGTGGGGGAAGGGGTCCCCGAACCCCCAGAAGTTGGCGAGCCTGGCTGCCTTCCTGAAGGCCGTGGACGACCCGTGGATCGTGGCGGCGGACTGGAACCTGGACCCAGAGCAGCTGCTGAAGAGCGAGTTCCCGCAGGAGGTCGGCGGGGTGGTGAAGACGCCGCAGGGGACGAAGGTAACGTGCGCCAAAGGGGAGCAGGGGCCTCTGCTGGACTACTGCTTGGTGCGCAAGGACTTTGCGGACCAGGTGATGGTAGAGGCGGAGCTGGAGGTGCCTTGGAAGGTGCACTGCGCGCTGCTCATCACACTCAAGGGCTCCTACCAAGAATGGTGGGTGAGGGCGCTCGTGGTGCCCAGGGCGCTGCCGCGGGCGCAGAGGCCGAGGAAGAGCGCGGACCTCAACAGCAAGACGAGCAAGATGAAGCAGAAGAAGCTGCAGGAGAGGAAGTCGAGACTCCCCCCGGAGGAGCAGGAGGCCTTCGCGAAGCTGTACGAGGAGGATGAGGTCTGCCAGGAGCCCAAGGCGCCTTTCCAGGTGCCACTGGAGTGCTGGAGGCAGGCGGAAGAGCAGCTGGCGCAGACAGGATTTCCAGGGCCCGTTGTGGGCACGCACACGGGCCCGGTGCAGCAGGTGGACGACCACGTCGCCTACCAGGGCCGCGAGGAGCAGGAGAAGGACCTCTCGCATAGGTACGGCAACTGGGTGAGCAAGCTGGAGCTCGCCCTGCTGGCCGTCCACGAGGTGGAGGAGTCGGAGAAGGCGCGCTACCTGGGGCGCGGGAGGGGCTTCGACCTGAAGTGGGTGAAAGCGAAGGTCACGCCAGGCAGGGCACACAGTGCCACAGGTCTGACGCCATGTGCTATGCGCTCACGCTGATGCAGAGGTACCAGACGCTCGCGCGTGGCAGGCGCGATGAGGCTCAGCGAGGCCGGGTGAGCTGCAAGCTCAAGAGGATCGCCAAGGAGACGCTGGACCAGGGCATGGCAGACTTTTTCGGCAGCGCGCGCTTCATGGTCTGGCAGAAGATGATGGTCAAGGTCGAGACCCTCTCGGCGGCGCACCGACAGAAGCTGCTCGAGCTGACGGGCACGCTGGCGGCGGCAGGGCAGGCGCGCGCGATGGGGGAAGCACGAAGAGCCTACACCAAGTGGGTGAAGGAGACGTGGAGCGACAAGATGGGGGTGCTGCACAAGCACGTGAAAGACGAGCCGACCATCATCAACGAGATCTGCACGGGCACCTCCACCACGGCGGACCCTACGGCGATCATGGATGACCGGGCGTCCAAATAGAGAGGGTTGTGGCAAGACCCGAAGGTGAGCTTGGAGGACATCCAGGGGCAGCTGCAAAGGACCCTGGAGATAGCGAAGGAGGAGGACTACCCGCCAGTGGAGCAGGAGGAGTTCGACAGGGCGCTGAACTCCATAAACGGCAGGAAGGCGATGGGCGTGGACGCGCTGAGCTCGACGGAGGTGCAGAGGCTTCCGCACGAAGCGCGCGAGGAGCTGAGGCAGCTGATGAACGATGCCGAGGCCCAGGGCGTCTGGCCTCGCCAGTGCATGGCGGCGGTGGCGGCATCGGTTCCGAAGCCTGCTGGGGGCGACAGGGCGCTGGGCATGATTGCCCTTATGCCCAAGATATGGAGCAAAGCTCGAGGCGGTATCGTGGACAACTGGACAGAGCAGCTCGGGGCATTCTGGGACGGCGCCCTGCGAGGGTGCTCTGCGCTCAGGGCTGCGCTGTACCGTGCCCTGCTCGACGAGGTGGGCAGGGAGATGCAGCTGGCGTCGGCCACTCTCCTCCTCGACCTCCAGACCTTCTACGACACGATCAGCCTGGCGCTGCTCATGGAGCTGGCAGTGCAGGTGAAGTACCCTGCCATCGTCGTGGCCATGGAGGTGGAGCTCTTCTTGGGCCCTCGCATCCTGAAGGACCAGCGCCACGGCATCAGCGAGCTGGTCTGGCCGACGCGCTCGGTGGTGGCGGGGTCGGCGAGGGGGGTATCCTTGGCCAAGGTGTTCATCCACGGGGTGCTGGAAAAGGCCCACCAGGTGGCCCCGCAGGCGTCCCTCTGGACATTCGTGGACGACACGACGGCCCGGTGCGAGGGATCTCGCCAGATGGTGAAGCAGGAGATGAAGCAGGTGGCGACCCAGTTCGTGGAGGGCTTCGTCGAGGAGCGAGGCCTGATCATCTCGAACAAGACCAGGCTGCTGGCGTCGGACACGCAACTGGGCCGAGAGCTAAAGGCGGAACTGGAGTCGCCTGCTCTGCCGCTGCAGTTGGCGCTGGACGCCACTGACCTGGGCGGCGACGCGGCAGCTGGGCGGAGGCGCTGCTGCAAGAAGCAGCGCTGAGGCAGCAGGCGGGCGCGGCAGTTGGAGGCAAAGCTGGCGGGCGCTGCCTCACCACGGTCCTGGCGGCGGGGCTTGAGGAGGACCCAGCCATCAAGCTGCGCATCCAGTTGGTGGACTCGTGGCTGGAGCTCTGGGAGACGGCGCCTGAGGTCCATGCGAGGATCCATAGAGTCTGGCCTGCCATCCGCGGCGCGCTCCTGAGCGCCGGCGCAGCCCGGCGCTGGCGGCGCGTGCGTGGCCCTGTCGGCGCACTCGTGGCAACGCTCATGGACGTGGGCTGGGATCCGCGCACTGCTGGCGCGTGGAGCAGGCCAGAGGTGGACGGCACGATCACGGAGTGGCACCTGGTGGAGTCGAGCTCGGAGGCCTTTGGGAGCTTCATCGATCGGCAGCCCATCCTGCACGACCTCCGCGAGGACATCATGCGCCAGCTGTGGAAGCAGGCGGCGGCCCACGAGGACGGCGGCAACTGGGGGAGCGGCGCGGACATGCTGCATGCGAGGCGCGAGCTCGACCGATATGCTCGAAGAGGCATGTGGGCGGAGTGGAGTCGCACGATGGCAGTGATAAGCGGCGGGCAGTGGAGCCGCGCCAGGAAGCGAGAGCGCGGCGATGCCGTCAGCGCCACCTGCCCGAGATGCGGGCTGGAGCCAGAGACGCTGACCCACAGGATCTGGAAGTGCACGGAGAACATCAGCGAGGGCAGTGAGTTCGCCAAGTCGGAGCACCTGGTGGCGAGGGCGCTGGCCAGTGTAGAGAGTGAGCCCTCGGTCTGGCTGCGAGGCCTAGTGCCGAACCACCTCACCACCCCCAGGTTCGATGAAGAGCGATTGGCTCAGGAAACCTTGTTTTTTGGGGTAGGTGAGCTGGGTGACTATCGGAGGGACGGGGTTTTGACGCTGTTTGGGGGCGGGTCGGGAGGGAAGCACTCGGACGATCAGCGTCGCCGTCGGTGTGGAGCGGCTGTCGCTGCCCTGGCCTGGCGTGAAGATAGCTGGTGCCTGGGGGCGATGATAGCCGCGCCGCTCCCTGGCTGCCGACAGTCTGTGCCCCAATCGGAGACGCTGGCCTTGGCGATGGCCCTTGAGCAGATTACGGGATCGGTGCACTTCGTGACGGACCATCAGGGCCTCTTAAAAGCCTGGCCCCGGAGAAGGCGCAAGGCCACCAGGGGGCCCAACGAGGATCTCTGGGCGAGAATTCGGGCGGCGGCCGAAGGCCGCGAGGTCTCTCTGGAATGGGTCCCCTCTCACGCTGAAGAGGAGGACGCGGGCCGTCTGGTCACAGATAGGGACCTCTTCCTTGCTGTGGGCAATGCCACGGCCGACCATGGGGCGGGGGAGGCGGCGGATCGGGCTTGGGAGGGATTCGTCATGCATGCTGCTCCCCACGCTGACAGTTGGGATGCTGTCGCCGCTCTTGTCAGACGTCGAGCGCCCAAGGCCTTACAACTTGCCCAGGACTGCGACACGACCCGGGCCGAGCGCGAAGAGATCGCGCCTCGCGGGGCCCGCGAGAGCGGCGTGAAGATAGCTCTCCGCGAAACGGGCCACCAGATGGCCCAGGACGGCGCTGAATGGAGATGCGAGGTGTGCAACCAGCGAGCGCATGCCTCGAGCCTGCTGGAGTTCTGCAGCACTGCGTGCGTACCTCCGCCAGCCCCGCCTGCCCCACCCCCCCCCGTCCTGAACGGGGCCCCCAGGGCTGTGGGCGAGGGTGTTTTAAGGGGCCTGGGCGGGAGGGAGCTGCACAGCACTCACAGACTTGGAGAGTGGCCCAAGTATTGCATGGTGTTCTGCCACGAATGCGGTAGGTATGCGACGGAAGATTTCAGACATCTCGAGGCCAGATGCCTTGGGAGATCACAGAAAGGAGCCGAGAATTTAGCTCGCATCAGGCGAGACCAGTACCCACGCCGCGAGGGCCCTCCTAAATCGGTCATCGAGGCGTTGCATGCGCGCGTTTGCGCTGAAGAGGTGGCCAAAGCGACTGTGGCGGGGGACCCTGGGGCCCGAGGACCTGCCCCATCGGCTGCGGCTGCGTCGAGAGCTCAGGACCGCGCTCCCACGGCGATTCCTGGCGACTCCTCTCAGCCTGTGGCAAGGCCCCTCGACCCAGAGGACGAGGCAGCAGAGGCGCGGACGAGGACGATCCGTGCCCGCCAGATTTGGCTTAAGATGCGCCTGATAATTGAAGCCGGTTCCGCGACCTCTTGAACCCCCGGAATGCCTGGAATGTGTTTAACAGTTTTAACGTCGGCGTGTTGCTGAGCCACTTGTGCCAGCGTGCTCCGGCAGAGCGTTTCTGGAGCACGCTGGATAAATCGTAGACGGCTCTCTCGGCACCAGGGTCTTGGTGTTGGTTTCGACTTTCCCCTTGGTGCTGCGATGCCGAGCTGCGAGCTGTGCCGCGTGGACGGCCACACTGCGTAATCCTTACAGCGTAATCCTCCTCCTCCTCCTCCTCCTCCTCCTCCTCCTCCTCCTCCCCTCCTCCTCCTCCTCCTCCTCCTCCTCCTCCTCTCCCCCCTCCTCCTCCTCCTCCTCCTCCTCCTCCGCCTCCTCCTCCTCCTCCTCTCTCTTCCTCCTCCTCCTCCCCGTCCTCCCCCTCCCCCTCCTCCTCCTCCTCCTCCTCCTCCTCCTCCACCTCCTCCTTCTTCCTCCTCCTCCTCCTCCTCCTCTTCCACCTCCTCTTCCTCCTGCTCCTCCTCCCTTTCCTCCTTCTCTTCCTCCTCCTCCTCATCATCGTCCTCATCGTCCTCCTCCTCCTCCTCCTTTTCCTCCCCCTCCTCTTCCCTCCTCCTCTCCTCCTCCCTCCTCCTCCTCCCCTCCTCCTCCTCCTCCTCCTCCTCCTCCTCTTTCCCCGCCCCCCCCCTCCCCTCTCACCTCCTCCTCCCCCCCCCTGCTCCCCCTCCCCCCCCCTTCCTCCTCTCCGTCGTCGCACGGTCGAAGAAGGGCGGGCCAGAGCGTGTTTTCGTTGGTCCTGTGCTCCAGGGACCCAGACCCCGACGCCATAATTTTTGACAACGTCGCCCCTCTCCCCAGAGCCAGTCCAATCCCCCCCCCCTTTGTCGGCCCCCCTTCTGGAGAAAGGGACGGGGGGCGGAGAGCGTGGCCGAGGCCGCAGGTCGCGCGGGGCCCGCGGGCCGTTTTCCGTAATTTGTTTACGGGCGTTCAAGTCGCACGCCCACGGTGGTTGTTATTTTGTGCTTGCAAGTGGCTTCGGCCCTTGAGTACCCTCACCCCTGTTCCTCCTCCTCCTCCTCCTCCTCCTCATCATCATCAGCATCATCATCATTATTATCATCATCAGCATCAGCAGCATCATCATCATCATCATCATCATCATCAGCAGCAGCAGCATCATCATCATCATCATTAAGAGCAGCATCATCCTCATCAGCATCAGCAGCATCATCATCAGCATCAGCATCAGCATCGACATCACCATCATCAGCATCAGCATCAGCATCATATTCTGTGTACGGTTCATCATCGTCATCATCAGCATCAGCATCCTCATCATCATCAAGAACAATATCACCAGCACCACCACCACCACCACCATCAGCATCATCATCATCGCCATCATCATCAGCATCGTCATCGCCATCGTCATCAACAACAACACCATCATCACCACCATCATCACCATCATCACCACCATCATCATCGTCATCATGCTCATCATCATTCTCAGAAGGCCGCCGCGAGCTCAGGCCTTGATGTCGCCGCGGCCTATGGGACGCGCCC